ATCAACTCCGCAATAGACAATGTCTATTGCAGAGTTGTACTAACTGCTAAAGACGTATTTCCAGGGGTTCCCTTGTTTAAAAATGACCATGTACATCTGTAGGTCCAGGCCTACCCTAAGGTCTAAGATAATCACAAGACTCACTTTTACTCCAAGTTCTCCGATAGACTGAGAAAGGAAATATCTCGCTTCATCCAAAAATCCTCTAGCACACTGATACTTGTCCTCCGACGGGGGATTCTTCTCCAAGTAAGACTCCAGTTTTCCCTCTCCGATAAGGAATGCGGACAATGCATCTGCAACGATAATTGCCCAACACACGTGTGTAACAGTACTGCCATCCAAATCATGAATATCTACCAGCCTAAAGTTAGGCCAAAATCACGCCTCAATTTAAGTCTGATGAGACGGTCGAATTCCTAACCTTTCTCTTTCTGGTTCTTATTGAAGCGCTGCCTTGCTAAGTCAGTGACTCTCTCCCAATTACATTCTTCTCGGTTTTTCTCGATATCGGCTTCCAACCGCATGAGCTCTTTCTTCGCGGCCATGATTCCTGAGCATCGTCGTTTGTACGACACCATTAAACTAAATCATGGATTTGAAATAAAAGGCATTTCTGACCTATAGAGATCGAATGTAAGTTTCTTTCAAGCGGTAATTATCAGTGGCTTGTAAAATGCATTTTAAACTGAGGTGTATCCCATATACATACAAAATAAATAAAAAATTTAGGAAAAATTCTTAGGCCTCAGATCGCATTCGAGTGTGCTTGCATCCTTCTTTTCCTGCAGAGGGTGGTGACGAGTTGCAAGGTGAGAATTTCGCTTGATAACAGTTTACACTTACTGGACATGGTTTAGCTGTTGTGGTTCATAGTTCTACTGCGTAGCTGCAGAAAACATTGTTTTAACAAGCTGTAAATATTCTTTTCTCCTTGCAGCGTTTGATCGATTAGCGACAAAGAGATCCTTGAATATCCCCAGCTTGGTTATGGTGAAGTGCGTACCCCCGAGGGATATTGTGTTGTCTTTAGTTAGGCCAGGCCAGGCCAGGTTAGGTTAGGTTAGTGTATATGTTAAATAAAAGGAATCCCAATCGATGTGGCTTTTGTCCAGTTGAGTTGGGAGAGTGCAATTTCTCTATGGGGTACGCACTTAATTGTTACCCTAGGCCAGGCCAGGTTAGGTTAGGTTAGTGTATATGTTAAATAAAAGGAATCCCAATCGATGTGGCTTTTGTCCAGTTGAGTTGGGAGAGTGCAATTTCTCTATGGGGTACGCACTTAACTGTTACCCCCAGGTTCTTTGGTCTCGTTCTGTATTTTCCGCTTCAGCTAGACCAAGTCGTTCTAAGTCTAGGAATGAGTTCGATTGGACGATACTGTCACGTTACTGTCAACTTATAAGCTAATTAACTCCATCTTTTCATCTTCGTAGACCACAGGGGTCACAGGTTCTTCTTCTGACTGCTGTGATCGTTCAAGGGCATCCATCATGCCTCAGAACGAGCACATTGAACTTCACCGCAAGCGGTATGGGTACCGCTTGAACTACCACACAAGAAAGCGGAAAAAGGAGGCACGAGAACCCAAGCGTCAGGCCAGGTTAGCCAAGGAGTTGAGGGGCATCAAGGCGAAGTTGTTTGCCAAAAAGCGTCATGCAGAGAAAGTGCAAATGAAGAAAACTCTCAAGAGCTTTGAAGAAAAGATGAATAGGCAAAAGAAGGAAGACAAGGTTGAAGAAGGAGCAGTTCCAGCATATCTCTTGGATCGTGAAACTCAGAAACGAGCCAAAGTTTTGTCTAACATGATAAAGCAGAAAAGGAAGGAAAAAGCAGGGAAATGGGATGTTCCAATTCCCAAAGTGAAAGCTCAGTCAGAATCTGAAGTCTTTCGAGTGGTTCGGACAGGAAAGAGCAGGCGCAAGGCTTGGAAACGCATGGTGACCAAAGTGTGCTTTGTTGGAGAAGGTTTCACCCGAAAACCACCAAAATTTGAACGTTTTATTCGTCCTATGGGGCTTCGTTTCAGGAAGGCACATGTGACACATCCTGAGCTAAAGGCCACCTTCTGCCTTCCCATCCTAGGAGTGAAGAAAAATCCTAGTTCACCCATGTATACATCCCTGGGTGTCATTACCAAGGGAACCATCATAGAAGTGTTGTATTCGCTCAACCCGAACCAATGTGTTTCACCTTTCCAACAAACCCCTTTTATACGAGTCCAATGGTTGTTAGGACTTTTACTACCTACGTAGTTACGACAAGAGAACCAAACTTAAGGTGACTACTTGAATTATGTGTTGCAAAAAATAGAGATCTTTTTCTGAGATCCAAGGTCCTTATTTTGCTCATCAACTTTGCTACTTTCAGAGCATTATTAACATTCAGAATTAGTAAATGATGTTTTAAAGTCTAATTTAAGTATTAACTGTACATACCCATATGTCAATGGGCACTGATTTTTACATCTTCAACTTCACAAAGAAGGGTCTGACTGAATCGCAGGAATCTTCTCTCAATTGAGAGACAGTTGGCAAATGTGCCTTTCCTGGACAAATGTTTTATGTTCATTTGTGAATTTGTGTTTGTTACAATAGTTGGCACTGAGTAAGTAGGCTCATTCTGTTTAATTTATTTTTAATTTATTATCTTTAAATAGTTGAAAAGTTTATGATGTGAGGTAATAGTAAGCCAAAAATTTATATTCCAAAATGGTGCCAAATACAGTTGAAATGGTTTATTGAGAAGTATTTATTTAGGGTATTATCAAGTAAATGACAGCTCTTTGGGTAGTCATATTTACTCTGGTGTAGAAATTTTGCATTGTTCTTGTTGGTAATTTTTGTTCCTGTCTCTTTATCAGATGCAGATATTTGTGAAAACCTTAACAGGGAAGACTATAACCCTTGAGGTTGAGCCTTCTGATACCATCGAAAATGTGAAGGCTAAGATCCAAGATAAGGAAGGTAAGCTACTTTAATTCCATCTTGACTACTAACTAGATATTAGCCGAGAACACTACAATGATATCTTGACTTTATTTTAAACAGGTATTCCACCTGATCAGCAGCGCTTGATTTTTGCTGGCAAGCAGCTTGAGGATGGACGAACTTTGAGTGACTACAATATTCAGAAAGGTATGTCATCATCCATCTGTGGTTATTTTTCTCCAGCTATTTTAGTTTTTAGCTTTTCAGTCACTCTCCAGTGACTGTCAATTGAGATTTAAAGACACTGCCCATTTAAAAATGTAAAGCCTGTATCTCATAAATAACTGAATAAAGCAGAAATTAGGCTGTCAAGACCTCCATGCTACTATTGCTTGATAGTGTTTTTTTGGTTGCTATAGAGCAGAGGTGTCAAACTGGAGGCCCACAGGCCGAATCCAGTCCGCCAGTCCATTTTGTCCAGCCTGCAAAGTCCACTTCAACAGTTGGTTATGGAAACGAACTGCAAATTTCAGCCTGTTTGCATTAAAGATAAGGTGTTACATTTTTGTTGTGGCCCCTAATCACTCCTGAAGGCTTCCATCCGACCCCCAGTCTAATTGAGTTTGACACCCCTGCTGTAGAGGCTCATGCTAGGAGTCAGAAATTACATTACTCATCAAAGTTTGGCACCAGTTGCCTCAGGAAACCATTTTAGATAAATTTGAGGAAGAGGGAAACCAGTTTAAAGAGGATGGAAATTGGAACTGTTTCCTAACTTGTTCTGGAAGTTTGTCACATTGGATCTTGATTTTTTCACCTTGAAAATGCTTGGTACAGGTGCAAGATTTTTTTCAACACATTCAGATAAATCATGGCAAATGTCTCCAAAATTGATTGTTTGCTTTAACCCATTCATCTCATGACTTCTCTTTACAGCCCCTTAAATCTTGAAAGGTTCTAGAAAAATGCATTACAATTTTGATGTGCTATGTGGCACAATGCAATGTGATTTTGGCCCATTAGCCACATTCAATGAATCTTATATCATTTGATACAGTATCCCTTCCACAGCCCAAAACACCATTTTGTTGAAATTTAAACCAGTTTGAAAAGTTATTTAGGTTATGATAAAGTGGATCACATTTTATGAATGATGAGTATTTCTTCAGAATGCACACTTCCAATAATTCTGAGTGGGTTGGGTATACTAGGATGATGTTCAATAGTCCCACCTAGTAAATTTCCATGGTGTGGCTAGAAGAAACAGCTAGAAAAAACCAATTTGTACCAGTACTCTTGTGATCCTGACCAGGAGCATGAGCATGTACCAGTACACTAGTGGATGTGAATGGGTTAAACTTTTTTTCAGAGAATTGGGATAATACCTGCTTTAAATGCCCAGTAACAAGTCTGACGGAATTTCCTGTGTAGATGCAGGATGGCATAATAAACATTCAGCTTTTTTTATGAATGAAGTCAGAGTAGTTCTGATTAGGGCAGTGGCCATTTCTGGGACTTATTTCATGCCTCCCTACATTGGTGAAGTTATTGTGAAGTGTGCATCATATGTGTATGATACCTGTTTCATTGGATTGTACGTAGAAAACAATTGGACACTACACACTGGTAATCTGTGTTCCANGAAGTCTTTCGAGTGGTTCGGACAGGAAAGAGCAGGCGCAAGGCTTGGAAACGCATGGTGACCAAAGTGTGCTTTGTTGGAGAAGGTTTCACCCGAAAACCACCAAAATTTGAACGTTTTATTCGTCCTATGGGGCTTCGTTTCAGGAAGGCACATGTGACACATCCTGAGCTAAAGGCCACCTTCTGCCTTCCCATCCTAGGAGTGAAGAAAAATCCTAGTTCACCCATGTATACATCCCTGGGTGTCATTACCAAGGGAACCATCATAGAAGTGAACATAAGCGAGTTGGGCTTGGTTACACAAAGTGGAAAGGTTGTTTGGGGAAAATATGCTCAGGTTACCAACAATCCTGAAAATGATGGATGCATCAATGCTGTTCTCTTGGTTTGAATTCCACTGATCTTGAATTATGTGTTGCAAAAAATAATAATTTTTCTGAGATCCAAGGTCCTTATTTTGCTCATCAACTTTGCTACTTTCAGAGGATTATGAACTACAGAATTAGTAAATGATGTTTTAAAGTCTAATTTAAGTATTAACTTTACATACCCATATGTCAATGGGCACAGATTTTTACATCTTCAGCTTCACAAAGAAGGGTCTGACTGAATCGCAGGAATCTTCTCTCAATTGAGAGACAGTTGGCAAATGTGCCTTTCCTGGACAAAAGTTTTATGTTCATTTGTGAATCTGTGTTTGTTACAATAGTTGGCACTGAGTAAGTGGGCTCATTCTGTTTAATTTATTTTTAATTTATTATTTTTAAATAGTTGAAAAATTTATGATGTGAGGTAATAGTAAGTCAAAAATTTATATTCCAAAAAGGTGCCAAATATTGTTGAAATGGTTTATTGAGAAGTATTTATTTAGGGTATTATCAAGTAAATGACTGCTCTTTGGGTAGTCACATTTACTCTGGTGTAGAAATTTTGCATTGTTCTTGTTGGTAATTTTTGTTCCTGTCTCTTTATCAGATGCAGATATTTGTGAAAACCTTAACAGGGAAGACTATAACCCTTGAGGTTGAGCCTTCTGATACCATCGAAAATGTGAAGGCTAAGATCCAAGATAAGGAAGGTAAGCTACTTTAATTCCATCTTGACTACTAACTAGATATTAGCCGAGAACACTACAGTGATATCTTGACTTTATTTTAAACAGGTATTCCACCTGATCAGCAGCGCTTGATTTTTGCTGGCAAGCAGCTTGAGGATGGACGAACTTTGAGTGACTACAATATTCAGAAAGGTATGTCATCCTTCATCTGTGGTTATTTTTCTCCAGCTCTTTTAGTTTTTAGCTTTTCAGTCACTCTCCAGTGACTGTCAATTGAGATTTAAAGACGCTGCCCATTTAAAAATGTAAAGCCTGTATCTCATAAATAACTGAATAAAACAGAAATTAGGCTGTCAAGCCCTCCATGCTACTATTGCTTGATAGTGTTTTTTTGGTTGCTATAGAGCAGGGGTGTCAAATACCTCCGGGTGTCCGGCTTAGGTCAGGCGGTCAGGTAAAACAGGTCGGACGTTTCAGGTGAAGTTGTCAACCAATACCTTTGCTTGACGTTTAAAGTCGGACAAACGTAATTTCTATTCCACAATGTTTTTTGTTGTGGCCCCTAATCACTCCTGAAGGCTTCCATCCGACCCCCAGTCTAATTGAGAAACTGTGGGGACGACATCTCCGAGTACGATCCTCAGTCTTTAATGTAATGAGTAGTTTCAAACCGTGGTCAACGGAGTCCTTTGGTAAAATCTATTTAAACTCCTTCTCCCTTTGGTCAAATTTCTAGATGGAAATTGGAACTGTTTCCTAACTTGTTCTGGAAGCTAGTCACATTGGATCTTGATTTTTTCACCATGAAAATGCTTGGTACAGGTGCAAGATTTTTTTCAACACATTCAGATAAATCATGACAAATGTCTCCAAAATTGATTGTTTGCTTTAACCCATTCATCTCATGACTTCTCTTTACAGCCCCTTAAATCTTGAAAGGTTCTAGAAAAATGCATTACAATTTTGATGTGCTTTGTGGCACAATGCAATGTGATTTTGGCCCATTAGCCACATTCAGTGAGTCTTATATCATTTGATACAGTATCCCTTCCACAGCCCAAAACACCATTTTGTTGAAATTTAAACCAGTTTGAAAAGTTATTTAGGTTATGATAAAGTGGATCACATTTTATGAATGATGAGTATTTCTTCAGAATGCACACTTCCAATAATTCTGAGTGGGTTGGGTATACTAGGATGATGTTCAATAGTCCCACCTAGTAAATTTCCATGGTGTGGCTAGAAGAAACAGCTAGAAAAACCAATTTGTACCAGTACTCTTGTGATCCTGACCAGGAGCATGAGCATGTACCAGTACACTAGTGGATGTGAATGGGTTAAACTTTTTTTCAGAGAATTGGGATAATACCTGCTTTTACTGCCCAGTAACAAGTCTGACGGAATTTCCTGTGTAGTTGCAGGATGGCATAATAAACATTCAGCTTTTTTTATGAATGAAGTCAGAGTAGTTCTGATTAGGGCAGTGGCCATTTCTGGGACTTATTTCATGCCTCCCTACATTGGTGAAGTTATTGTGAAGTGTGCATCATATGTGTATGATACCTGTTTCATTGGATTGTACGTAGAAAACAATTGGACACTACACACTGGTAATCTGTGTTCCACATTGTTTTCCATGCCATGAAGCATGTATGATACATGCTTCATGAATATGTTTTTCCAGCATGCAGTATAACTAAAACCCTGATTGCCTTGTTGAAACAATTTTACTCCCATTGGAATTTGGAATACTGTGGTCTGTTCCAGGAACATAGCAGCAGAAAAAAATTCTAAATGCTATTTGCCCTAAAGGTTACCTAATTGAAATCCAATAACACGTTGGACACTATCTTGGTATTTTTTGTAGAATCAACTTTGCACTTGGTGTTGCGACTGCGTGGAGGTGCGAAGAAGCGTAAGAAGAAGAATTACACCACTCCTAAGAAGGTGAAGCACAAGAAGAAGAAGGTCAAGCTTGCTGTCCTGAAGTACTACAAGGTGTGTTTGATGAACCTTTTTTGTTTCTTTAAAGAAAGAAATATGGGATGCTGTAAATAATTTTAAGGAGAGCTTCTTTAATGCTTGCATTGAACAACAGCAATAATAAACCATTCCAAGAAGAAAAAGCACTCTTCCCGAGCTTAAGTGGCTATTGCCCTCTCTTTCCTTTTTCTTTGCTCAAAATTCATACACTGATGGCGATGATCAGTGCATGAATAGGTCTCTTAGTTCTCCCTTGATCTAGGATATAATACATGACGACCTTTGTAGGAGTAGCAACCAATGAAAGATGGAAAGTCCTGTCCATTGCCACTCCACTGCTCATGTTTTTTTTTTTTTTTTGAATGGTGTATTCATGAATTATCTCCTTGGTGCTGAAGGAATAAAGTCACATTTTTCATGTCCTTCCTTTTGATAAACCTGTTTACAATTTTCCCTTAACCTTTTGAGTTGCAAATTAATAAAGAATTATTTCCTAAAATAGTCATATTTTTTGTTTCTGTAGTCTGCTGTAAAATCAATCCCAAGCTGTTCCTGTTTTTGTCACTAGATAAGACTACCAATCAAGCAATCATTGTGGTTTTAGAGTGGAACTACCTTTCCAAGTATGCTACATGTGCTATGGAAGGTAGTTACACTGTGAAACCACTCACCCAAGGCATTAATTGAAAGTGGTGTGTCTTATTAAAGTAGGACTGCAAAAGGTTTTCATTTTGTGAAGTTTTTGCCTAATAGATGGGTGGAAAGAAGTTTGCCCAACTGAGTATTGATTGAGAAGGAAGTTTTGTTTGAAGAGACTTTGTGTGCTTCATGCTTGTTACTGGCAGTCTAAATGAATCTAAATGAAATCAGTTTTATCCAAAAGAGGCTTGATAGAAACCCAATTCATTTAAATGAAGTGTATGAAGTTGAGCAGTGAAAGTGAACAGTTCATTCTCGTTGACCTTTTGAAATTGTATACATGAACTTAAATTGCTAAAATTGTAGCTTCTTAGTTGAAAATTTAATAAAGGACATCTCTTATTAGTAGGGCTGTATTGGCAACCACTGGTATCAACTGGTGTTGTGCTAGCAATTAAAGTGAAAGCAAATATATCTATATAAATA